GAACATCTTCTTCCAAGACGGGTTTTAATATTACCTCTTTGTACCCATATGTGAACGATGCGGGTGCCGGTAAAGCCTGTATCTCAAACTACGTCCAAACATGGGCAATGCAAAAATGTCCTGCCCAAGTGTTATGCGTGAACATAACTCGGACAAGACCATGATGCTGCTGCTGCAAAGAACCTTTTGATGCTGACGTGCATGTAAACTTCCGTGTCATCCAATGGCCAGGTCGCCAGCCACGCACAAGATGGCGCCGTGGGTGCGGCGCATCTTCCTGTACCTGATGCCGCGGCTTCTGCTGATGCGGCGGCCGCTGTACGGCCCGCGCCGCCAGAGCTTCGACCCCAAGACGCACCTGCACGACCACGTGTGCACGGCCGGCGCCGAGTACATGTCCGGGTGAGGCCGTCACTGCACGCGCACGGCGTACACACCGCGCAGTGGCGCGCATTCTGCCGCCTCCGGGAAGGCACGTCGCAGTGCGGAGCGCCGTCGGGACTGCGCTTCCTTCACCCCAGATGTGCCGGCGGCGCGTCGGTGTCGTCCGTTGGAAGATAATCGCGTACCTGTACCTGATGCGGACCGGAGGGCTGTTGCCTCATCAGACTGTTTTCATGACTACTCCCCGTCAGGGCGGCCCATTAGGGTCGCCATTGTGCCGGGCTATATGGGTTGGGTAGTGGGAGTACGTATGGTCACGCAGTAGCGCGATATAATGGCGCTTACCTCCGCTGCTGGGCCTATGACCGACGGCCAGCTCAAGTAATTTCTGGTTTGGGAGCCGTTTCGTAAGCCGCTTAGACCATTATCCGCTCCCGACGGGACGCAGCTGAATGCAGCCTGTATACGTACACTGTGTCGTTTCACATCGGTGTTTACCGAGTGTTCTCAAGGCGTCGATAATTTGGTCTGCATTCGACGTCGGTCAACTAATTCACATACTGACATCCATCAGCATTATCACCGCATGTAACACACCCGTGTTCGCGCGGTATCTCTCTCTCTCTCTCTCTCTCTCTCTCTCTCTCTCTCTCTCTCCTCTCTCTCTCTCTCTCTCTCTCTCTCTCTCTCTCTCTCTCTCTCTCTCTCTCTCTCTCTCTCTCTCTCTCTCTCTCTCTCCTCTCTCTCTCTCTTCCTCTCTCTCTCTCTCTCTCTCTCTCTTTCTCCACTTGACACCCTCACCACGGCCGGTATAGACCGGGCGGTGGTCCCGTGCCCGGCCACGTGCCGCCGCCGTGCGGACTGGAAGCAGGTGCGACCTGACGACGAGCCGTCGGCGTCGACACCGCCCCCGGCGCTCTGATGGATCCGCTCCGCGCACCAGTCGGCGCGGATGGGAGCGAGGGTGGGCGGCGGCGCCGGGACGGACAGGCGGAGAGACGGGGGAGGGGGGGGGGGCGACGGGAAAGGTAGCTGACTAGGGGCGCATTGTGGATGTTGCAATGGGTCAGAAGGTTCTGCTGTTGTAATGAAGGGGGAGAGCAGTGACTGCCGAGGAGGCGCATAGATGCACGGCGAAGGGAGCCGGGTGCTTTAGGGGTGGTGGCGCCTTTTATGAAAGAAATAAACGGACTATAGACTGCCGTGGAAGTGCTGGACGCTGGGAAAAAGAGAAAAGACTTAAGGAAAGCGACAGGATGATAGGGGCCGTCTAAAATGGAGAATGCATCCCTCCCCGAGAGCAGTACATCGCAGCGTCGCGCCGATCCGAGAGAGCCGCGGACGACCCGTCACCGCCCCTCGCTCTTCAGATGTGCTTTCTGGGCGAGGCCACGAAAGGTCGACGCCCGCGGCTTCCGCACCTCCAGAGGGCGCCTCGCTGTTCGAGCGTGTGCCCAGGGCGGTGCCGCGAGAGGTCGACGCCCACTGTTTCCTCACCTCCACCGGGCGTCCGTCTGTTGCAGCGACACGTTCCGGGACCCGTACGCCGACGACTCCACGCCATCGGCCTTCAAGATCAACGGCGGCTGCGGTGCCCAAAGCTCAGGTCTGACGCCAGGCATAGCTCGGCTGTTGGCGAGCATGCGGTACGGCATGTCGCCGCCGCCCCGCACCGGCCGACCTGGGCCGGCCCGTGGTGTCGTTAGCCAGCGTGTCGTGTGATGTCGTTAGCCAGCGTGTCGTAATCCCGCGGTGTCGCGGGCCAGCGTGGGTCGGCCCGCCGGTCCGTGTGCCGCGGTGGTGGCCACCCTGAGACGGAATCGGAAACTCCAAGATAGTGATCTTAATAACAGCCTCTTCGGTAGGCGACGGCCACAGCAAATGGTCAAGCGCCGTGTGGCGTCACGTGCAGAAGCACATGATGTGATGCGCATATAATGCTGAAGCACATGTCATGCTGAGTTATTTATGCGCTTCAGCCTTGCAGATGACCTTGCTCGCTGTTCTTTCAGCTCTCAGTATTTATTTACGGACAGAAGTCCTGACGTGTGCGACGTGTCAGCTTCACACTTCAGTGACGCTGCTGCATAACTGTAGGTTCTGTGTCAGGCATGAATAACTGAGCCGTTCTCGGGACGTGCCAGGGGGATGTGGACGTGTCAGGGGGGTGATGCAGCCGTCACGGGGGGCTGTGTGCTTGGCAGATATATTCGGCTGCAGCAGCGAGGAACCACAGTACTCTCCGGAGGTACAGCGCGCGCTGGAGGGTGTACAGTTCATAGCCCGGCACATTAAGGAGGAAGACAAAACCAACGAGGTAGCTCAGTACCGAACACAGCCTTCGCCATTCAGTGTGTGTTTTCTGGATGTTTCGTAGTCAGTTGCACCTGTTGCAAAGCAGGAAAAAGTCACAAGTTAATGCACATTTCACTTTTCCCTCTGGTTTATTGAATTAATTCCATCACATTGCAATGGGTGGAGAGATAAGTCATGAAGGAATGTTTTAAGTGTGGTCTGGTTCCCTATCCTCTTTCAAACAGACAAATAAACAAGGTACCACATTAAACTGCTTCTACATCTAGATTACCTCAATGAGGGCATTGCCAAGCATACCTATCTTTCCATCCATGCAATGACGTCACGTTTTATTATTTTCATCGGCACTTTTTGAAGCAGCTCTTAGCACATGTGCATTCTCTGAACTTTGAGCAGTCTTAAACATCTAGTTAGATGTTAAAAATAGCGCGGTAAGTAGCGAATGATCACGAGGTCTCTTACTCGGTGACCTTGTTACTGGCTGACCTTTTTTGTCACGGCCCTCTCAAACATGTTTGATTACCCAGCGGCAGATCCCCATCCTGCTTTGCTCTAATCAGGTTTTCGGTCTGCATGATAAACGTAAACACACGTCAGCTGGTGCCGCCGGTACCGCCCAGATCCGCTGTTGTGTGTGGCTCCTCGAGCTGCTCCAACCCAGGCCGCTGTGTGGCTCCAGCTGCCCAGCCCCAGCCCGCTGTGTGACTCCTCGAGGTGCACCAGCCCCGGCCTGCTGTTTGGGCCATCCAACTGCCCCAGCCCCGGACCGTTGTGTGACTTCTCCAGCCGCCCCAGCCCGCTCCGTGCGCTGTCTCTGTGTCTGCCGCTGCAGGACGGACCGTAAGGTGACTGCGTGATTTCAGGCTCGCGAGGAATGGAAGTACGCGGCGCTCGTACTCGACCGCCTCTTCCTGCTCCTCTTCCTCACTTCCAACGTCGCCGGCACGGCGCTCATTTTCCTGCGGGCGCCCTCCCTGTACGACTATAGTCGCCCCATAGACCTCGACGAAAGTACCATCGGCATCTATTCGCCGTCCCCGGGCGAGCCCGAGGAGGTGGGCATGTAAAGCGTTAAACCGGCCGACACGCGTCCATTGGTAGGTGACTGCCTGCCTGTCGTGTGGTGCGCCGCTGCCGTCGGCGAAACAGCTACTGCGCATGCTCAGTATCGCATGGACGTGGCGCCGGGCTTGAGGCAGTTAAATGGTCCGTAAAATGGCACTTTTCGGGGCGGATGGGGGCACTTGCAGGAGGTCCTCCGTCAGGCTGGTTCGCGTGCTTCAGGGTTCGGGTGCACGTCGTTCGGCGTGATGGTTCTGAAGCAATGGAGGATGTGTGGAGCCCTTCTGCGGTGAGTTTGTGACTGGGTGAAATTCTGGGTGACGGACGAACCGTTTGAAGCAGGCTGCACGTTCTAACAGAAGCGCCAGCACTCGAAACGCCATGTACACCTCATGCTTCGCCAGAAGTCCTCACTACTTGGGAATTTGGAAGTTAAGCAAGTTTCAGCATCTACTATAAGCGTTTGCTTTCATTATTGCGTTAAGCTATACCTCTTTTTTAAAGGGAACGTTCCGCATTTGAAGACATCTAATCAAGCATCGGATATGGAAAGTAAATGAAGATGGCTTCTCTAAATTATTATATACGCGATACTCATTAAGTAAGCTGCGTTTTGACATATTTCCGATCACGGACCTTGCTCACAGAAACGAAAACTTCAAATACATATTCACTTTAACTTTGATTTAACAAGAAGTCGAGCTTTTCAATTCTGTGAGCAAGATCCGTGACCAAAAACTCATTAAGAATGCAACTTGCTTAACGGATATCACATAAATCATTGAAAGAAGATCATCTTTACTGCCTTTTAATACTTGCCATGCCTTACGTTGCACAAGCACTGCACCACTTTAGAAACATTGTATGCGATGAAATAAGCTCACTTATAACTACTGGCAGGCTGTGAAAAAGTGGAGTGATTGAGTGGAGTAAGTGGGAAAGACTGCTGTAAACAGCACGGTTTCCCTGTTGAGTGAATATGCTCCTCAATGCGTCATTTTTTTGGTTGCGTCGTCGCACCTCGCACAACATTGATCGAGAGCCAATTGACGATCGTTACATCTGAAAACGTGTTCACGCACACCACACATAAACGATAAGACAGTTATATTTTTCTTGGTCTTGTTCGCCGCACGGCTAATGGAATGGCAGGATTTGAATAACGTTATGAATGACATGGATGCCTGGGTGAAAATGAAAAGGTCTCCACGAAATAGTCTGCAATAGTTTGCACATCTTCTTAGCTAAGCGGGCGTGTAGTTAAGAAGCTAGGGGATTTTAGTCTAAAGGAAGGCAGGACTGTGAACCGTACCGTACGATATTCACGATGGCTATAGACTACAAAACCCCATACAAATGAGAAACACTCCCTTTAGCCAAACATTTTTTTATGTTTTGGTCTTCAGGCAAAACGAACCTTGAAAACAACATATTAATACAAACCTATAGCGAGTGTTCAGGATATTTTTTTCAAATGTGCAAGGCATGGGAGAAACTAAGGTCAATAGGAATTAACATTTCGGTCACCCACTGAGCATCGCAATGCCTTCAAGTCGGGATATGTCAGAGAGTAAGAGCCAGCGGTGAAAAAAATACGAAACTAATTCTGACATTGACGATTTGGAATCTATGTGAGGCCACAACCTGAAATGTTTTGCTGCAAATAGTTGATATATATCGTATTACATACAAAATGCACTCATTTTAAGGTGGGGCCAATCGTGGTCAGACGTGATAAAAAATAGTGTGGCCAGAACAGCCAGCGTGAACATAAGTACTTTGATGTGTAATGTAATTAATTTATTGATGTAGGAAGTAAGATATGGTTGTTGCATAAAGCCGCTTTCTACCGCTTTAAACTTGGAAGCTGTCCTGACAAAGACTTAAGCTTATCGGGTTAATTCAATTTCTGCTCCCAGTAAGTGATGAGCCGGACCGTTTTCATGCAATACCGGTACGCCTTCGAGTCCTGCCCAATCTGCCAAGTAGATGTATGAATATTTGACTATCAGAAGCTCAGATCAGCGGTAGAACTGGAAGGTCCATCCGTCGGTTCGAGTCACTGTGATCAAATGATTCGCCACTCACCGGACGGCGTAGTGGTTACAAATGCGGTGAGTGGCTGATGTCTCGGTTTTGGTTATTTACTTGGTTACCTGGTTACTTGGCATATTCTTCTGCAACAGTCAGCGAAGGAGGGATCGCAGCTCGGGTGAGATGACAAGTTACATGCGTGAACGCCTGCGTGCGGCGACGACTGATCGGTCGATGTTGACAACGTTCTTGAAACACTCATCAATCTCTCCAGTGATGCCATTATCCGACCGAGCTTTAATGCCAATGCTGTTAGCGTTTGGTAAGCGCTAACGTCACTACCAAAGAGCGTTGTGAATGTCCATACAACAGGACCGCAGCCAGCAACAGTGCCAGTAAGTGCCTCCAGCCGCCCCGCACTAATACACACGGTCTGGTGAGCAGCGACAGCGTTTCCTTTGGTTTTCTCGTGGCTGGCTGCGCCGCCCGCCGCCGCGGACGACGCTCGTGTTCTGCCCGCGCCCGTGGCTGTTCGAAGAGGGCTAAGCCTGCTGGTGCTCGTGTGGTGACGGCTTTGCACCCATGCGGACTCCCCCTGCCCTACCCACTTACGGTGATTGGCATCCAGAGTCGCAGGTCTAAACACCCCGCTCTCGTCTGTTAACTTGCATACATTTTTCCGAAGTTGTCCAGATCTCACTCACCCAGCTTGCAGTTATTTTGTTTCTCAGCGGTTATTAGGTTGGCTGTGTTCCCAGCGCACAGTTTATGTTCATATGTTTATGTTTTGTTACGTTGAATGGTGTTGCCACTTGCGTCTCAACTTCTTTCGATGTAGGTTGAAACTTAACTTCCTATCTGCATTATTTGCAGTTCCTATTTCCACGGCTCTCATCACGCTATTGACTCCCAGGTAGGCGCCGGACGACCCCCACCCCGCACGAGCCACCACACCAACCGAACCCCCTTCTATGCACGCATTTGTCTGCTGAACACGCCGACTCTTTCCGGCACCCCTGTCTCAACTCCTGCATCTCCGCTTGCGGCTGTTTCAGCCTCGAACTTGGCACCGCTCTGCCATGCTCCTTGTCGGGCAGCCGAGCTCTGGCGGCCGGCGCTGTTTGTGCGCCTCTGCCAGCGTGTCGCTGGGGGTGCGGTGCACGCGTCTGGCTCTGCATGCCGCCTGCGTGGCTGCCGTGCCGCCGTGGCCACCGAGCGCAGTCTGCTCACAGCCTGTCCGTATACTGTTTTGTTCAGCTGCTCACCAGATGCCTCTAACCGATGGGTGTGGGCGGCGCGTTGCGAGAAAGGGGTTTCGGCCGCCAACCGATAAGGGAGGGCTCGGTCGTTAACCGATCTCGATGAGGGAGGGGAGGGGGGGGGGGGGGCGGCCACGGCTAGCGGAGCCGGCTCAGAGCCGATCGGGCGGCGCTCGGCGGAGGCGCCGACTGCGCGCCGTTATCGCCGCCGCGAGCCCGCACAGCGAGCCTCGGTCGGCCGTTCAGAGCGGCTTTGCGTGCCGGGGGTCGTTCGCTGGAGATTGCGACCGCTGGGCGCCACGAGAGTCGTGATTCAATTCGCCCCCGCTCGTGAAACTGGCGCGGCCGAGCGAGGGGATGATCCCGATACGCGCTAACAAATTGTTATAAATCGATCATTCATCTCTACGTTCCTAACCACACGAAACTTGCATAAATTGGCCACTAACGGAGATAAAATGCCTTCTAATTGATGTAAATATGACGATCCCATTCCAACACAGTGCAATGCGAATCAGAGCAATGCCATCGCAGTGGCATCCGCCTAAGTATCTGTTCCAGCTAACAAATCTTGTTTTCTCCGCGATTGAGTCCATTAGGGGCAACAGGGCGAGACCAGTGACCCACGCCAGACATCACGGTATGGATTCCACACCCCCGCCCCGATGGCGTTTTGCAAGACGCTGCGTCGCTTCAATGATATCGGTAATCCCTGGAGTGGTGGATCCATGCCTAGAGGTGTCATAACACTCCAATGCTGGTCATTAGTGCAGCATTATATGGGGATTTCCGAGTCTGTGCAATCTGTTTAAGCCCGTGGCATCACCGAATGCGTTTGCAGGCGACATGGAGCGTGTGTCAGGTGTGCCGCGCCGCTGCGGATCGGTGTCGTTGGTATCGGTGGTGTTGTTGGTGTCGGTGGTGTCGTTGGTGTCGGTGGTGCACCGCGTCTGCTGCGCGCCGTGCCCCACGCCGCGTCAGCTGCCGCCGTCGCTGTTCCAGATCATCCAGGACTGGAAGTACGTGGCGATGGTGCTGGACCGGCTCTTCCTGTGGCTGTTCACGTTGGCCTGCGTGCTCGGCGCGGTGGCCATCATCTTTCAGGCGCCGTCACTGTACGACACGCGCGAGTCGATCGACACCCAGTTCTCCAACATCAAGGTGCCGACGAGTGACCCCAGATACCGGGGCTGAACGCCGGCGCCAGCGGCGCTGCGCCATCTAGCCCGGCATCGGTCGCCCTCACCGGCACCTCCCCCAGTCGCCGGCTTCACTGTGCTTCGTTTCCGGCCGGCGAGTATTCTCGACGCGTCGGCCGCGCAAACGTGCAAGCGAACTCTACCACGTCAAGTGTGGCGTTGAACTGTATGAGTGGGCTTCGTGTGACGGGCTGTTCTCAGTTCCACCCAATGTCTGCTGATCAGTGTTAACTGTTGTGTATTTGGGCAGGCATGGGCAGGACGTTGGCTTTAGACAATACATCAGGCTCAGACTGTGTACTCAACGCTAGATGGGACAATAATCTTAAAAGGAATGTTCCACAGTGAAGAAATTGAGGCAAGCGTCAGATATGATGGAAAATTTTAATTATAGCTATTGGTATGCTTTCATGGTTCAAAAACTTCCCTAAATAGCAAAATTTCAAAGGCGAATTGCAAAAATGTTCCGCATTACGTCGTCACTTGATGACGTCACGGAAGTGTTCTGTGACGTCAGCAATGCCTGACGGCGTCTGAAAGCCAAACTTAAAGAACACCTCGAAACGCACGCAGGCTGACGCCAGCCAGCCATTCGTGTGGTGGCTACTCGAGGAATGCACGGCAGCATGAATAATACGATCACATAACAATGCTTTTGACAACAATGGCGCCCATGGATCGATGCCTGCATCATGACGCTTGTGCGAGCTGTCAAATTTGAACGTCTCGATTGAATATTTGCTCAATATATACTCATAGTAACACTATTTTATTAAAGTCGTTGAATAGTTTCCAAGCATGCATTCGGACACTCCGTTTAAGTACATTCGGACTGATTCGCGAGTCACCGGTGGTTATTTGTTATGTGCTTTGGATGTCTCTGGAAAGATTCCACCGATGTTTGTTGTAAGCAAATTAAAAACCAGTAGACGTTTTTACGCTGCTCATAAAATACATCTGAAGACGGAAACGTGCAATGCATAATCATTCTTCTTGCCGTACAAAATATGCCTTTGTGCAACTTTCATATTAGCCGTTTTCACGATGGGTTAATGCACCGAAAAGTTTTTAAAAAAGGTTTGAAATGTTTCTATAAAGTTTTAGTACATAATAAACATTCTGACAAGGAAAATCATGCTTACATGCAATTCCATTAATATGAAACAGGTAAACTTCATGTACAAAATGAAAACAAACTTGCTACATTAAGGGAGAGCATTTATAGATATTTCTTCAGCTCATGCCTTTAGTTCATCCAAATTCTAGGAAAATACTTTGCTTGGCAATCAGCGATGTGCGTCGGTCGAGGGCGATGGATGCCGGCTTCCCATTATTGTTTACACCGGTGTTGTTTGGAACAAGATGGGCTTTGATTATCACTTCATTCAAGGATCATTCATCTTGGATCATGTTAAGAAATGTAAGCCCCGTAAGCTCTGTAAATACCGTAAGTAAGCTCTGTAAGTAACGCATACCTATAAGCATGGCCGATAGGATATAGGAGTCTTTTATGTTGCGTCCGCGTCAGAGATGCCATGAAACGTTTTTATAAGGTTTGAAAAGCTTCGGTAAGAAAAAACTGAGATCACACCTGTCCATAAAAGCATCCTGTAGCCAACTAACCGAAATTTTATCAAACGCTGCGTCTGTGACCCTGCCCTCAAATCTCTGTAAAACATTTTTCACCAATTATCGCTCATAAAAGGTGTGTGATTGGAAAATGAACGCTGAAAAACCTTTAAAAATTTAAATGTTTTTGCATCTTAATCCTTCGTGAAAACGGCTATTGTGTAATATGCTACTAAGAGAATTTCAAACGACATGAGCATATAATTTACGATGAAGAACAGCATGCGGATTGCTGATAACATATCGGTATGGTATGTTGTAGAACCGTGTTTTTTCATGTTTTTTTGTAAGCGTTAGCAGCTTGGAACAATTGTTGTGAACCCCGAACAACGTTTTGCAGATGTAGCACAAATGGCACATGACTACTACGCACGTAGCTTTTTGGGAATATTCTAACTATAGTGCGTGATTCGGAGTGCTGCGATTTCGGATGTTATGCTTCTAGTCATCGGTGACTGTAAATATCGTTTAAGACTGAACGCAGTAGCTATAAGGGAATCGTTCACTGAAAACACATATTTGTTAGTTTGAGGGAGTTAGTGTTGGTCATTGTTCCGGCATATCCCGAGTGTCTCGCAGCGCTGTTGCGGTTGGACGGTGCGCGGACATGGCGAGCTGGACACTGAGAATTCACGTCGCCTGTTCTGCTGCGTGTGTGATGTCCGTGCATATGTGCTATCGGGTTCAGTCAAACAGAATGTGATCTTATCCAAGTAAATCTACACCCTTCAGGTTCGTAAAGCCGTCAGTGTATATTATCTGTCCGCGCTTGCCGACTGATGGGGACGTTGCTGCCTGATATTGAATGAACGCAAGACAAATTATTGTTACCCCAAAGCGGTGCCAAAGGTGCTATGTAACTGTGTACAGAAATGAGTGACTCCATTTTCCAGTATGCGTTATCGCCTGCTTCTTAGCGTCAGCTAGCTTTTGTATGCATCGCTACGCTCTTACGTTTGCGTATACGGGACTCGTGTCTACCAGCATTTGTTGAACCAAATCATTACAGGAGCATTGCTGAGGTACGCCAAAAATGTGTGTTTCTACTCCTTGACCACATCGCATTTGCACGTGGCTGCCTCACCTGTCAATTGCCCTTGGAACTGGTCCCAGCTGGTCAAACCCACTCTCATTCCTATGAAACAGCAGAATAGCTATTTCTACGTAAGTTAAGCGCCTATATCATAACAAAGACACCCCTACTAGACAAGCCGGCTCCATCCGCCACAGCAGCATGACAGCGGTGGATGGGACAGCACAGCGGCGAGCAGCGGTGACCCGCAGACAGCAGTGACACTGGCCAGCGCAGTCCGGGCAGTGACCCCCGCCGCGCACCAACACAGGTGACCGGCAGCCAGCAGTGACACTGGCCAGCGCAGTCCGGGCAGTGACCCCCGCCGCGCACCAACACAGGTGACCGGCAGCCAGCAGTGACACTGGCCAGCGCCGTCCGGGCAGTGACCCCCGCCGCGCACCAACACAGGTGACCGGCAGCCAGCAGTGACACTGGCCAGCGCCGTCCGGGCAGTGACCCCCGCCGCGCCCCGACACAGGTGACCGGCAGCCAGCAATGACACTGGCCAGCGCAGTCCGGGCAGTGACCCCCGCCGCACACCGACACAGGTGACCCGCAGCCAATCGGCGTGGTGCGCCGCCGGCCGGGCTGGTGGGCCGCCCGGGGGCCGCGAGAGGTGCCTCCGGCGCCGCTGCCTGCCGGCTCCGGTCGATAAGGCCCGAAGCCGGAGCGCGGTGGCCACAGAGTGCCGCGCAGCCGCAGACGCGGGGCGACGCGGCCTGTGGCGTGCTGCCTGAGGGCACACCGTCTCCGGCTGGGATCGGTCGTGCAAGAAAGAAGTCAACTTTTTGGTATTCTTTAAAAGCAGGCACATCTGCACGATTTTGGTTTACTTTTAACTGTCTGGACAACGTCCGGGAACAAAAGATAAGCTCATGTAGGTAAATTACGGTCGCGCGTTTGAATAGTCATCGTGTTTTTAATCCTAGTAAACCATTGCAGAAGTAGAATTAATGATTTGCTGCGCCTCCAGGGCATCAATAATTGTCGGACCTTCATTTTAATTCACTTTTGGTTGATTTCCCTCCTTAATTCAACAATTGCCAACAATCGGAAGCTGTTGGAAATGCACAAGGCCATGCCTCATTCCACATAACCCTTTCCCCTCTTAGTAAAGGGATCGATCCAACAAGACGAGATGTATACCTTTTCTTGTCACAGAGCAATAAGAAATATTCGAACATGAAGTGTCCGGGCTTGAATAGCCCCAACGCCTGGCATTCAAGATTTGGCGCCTGGACTCGGTCGTAGCGTCACAGACTGCAACGTTAGGGTGATAAAGTAACGTGACGTGGTGCTCGCGTCAGAGCGGAAAAGTGTTGTAGGGTAATCACCACCAAAGACTATCAAAGATGTGAAAACAAAACCAGGATTGAACATGGTATGCAGGAGCAGGTCATGCAAAGTGCTCTTGAAAAACATGCTGGAGGTATCAGGTATCATTCTGCTGCGGAAGACAACATTTGGCCCCGTTGCAGCACAAAGCGCGGCACAACGTCCAACTGACAGCTGATTGGCGGCGGCCGTTCGCGGTCAGGGCTCTGACCGTCGGAGCTGTCATTCCTGGTCACCTGACACTTCCCGTTACACAATCGGGCTGTGGAATAGGCCGTGGAAAAGTGCGTAGACCATTATTCTCAAGTCTTACTTGGGTCATAGTTTTAAGAAGAAAATTATGATTTCGGTAATTATGTGATGAAATGGCTCCTGATATAAATTACGGGTCCTTTATTGGCTTCGAATTGACCATCTTAGTTCAGTCTACAGGCAAGTGAGAAGCATTTCCTTTAAGGTCAAAACTTCGAAGGATCTGTACAGCGGAAAAGACAAAAACGAAACATGATCCACAACAGAAAATATGAAAGATCAGGGTAGATGTGAGTGCTTTTCGCTTCTCACTTCAAAAGCAGGTTTTTGGTGAACGCCATCCCGTTAGGTTTCCAACACAGGAACACTGAACTGCATGCTGATAAATAATTGCGTGACGTTATGTTCCAGTTCTGGTTATGAGACAATAATAGGTCGGCTGCTGGCTGGATTGAGAACAGCCCCACTTCACTGAGATCGTAGCAGCTCGTGCAGGTTTGTACTGGCCATCATGCGCAGGAGTCCACAAGCATAATTGCTGCAGTTTCCTTAAGCCGCTGAGCTGAAGAAATGCCTCCTATCTGGCCGGTAAAATGCCCAGGAGAGAAAGAGAGGGAACGAGAGAGAGAGAGGAAGAGAGAGAGAGAGAGAGAGAGAGAGAGAGAGAGAGAGAGGAGAGAGAGAGAGAGAGAGAGAGATAGAGAGAGAGAGAGAGAGAGAGAGAGAGAGAGAGAGAGAGAGAGATTCATATATATATATATATATATATATATATATATATATATATATATATATATATGGAGGGGGGGGGGGTTAAGGGGCGGCGCCAACGGAGAAGGGCAACGCGTCCTCCCATCATCGGATAGAAGGCAGTCTCGTCTATCGTAGCTGCCTTCCTGCAAGATGAAATGCATTTTTTCGCAGATATTCACTACGGTGTCCGTGCTGGCAATTTTTACGTAATGCAGCCTCCTCACACCGGTAGGATTGCCTTGTTCAAATACCATTACAAGGCTACTAGAACATCCAAAAGACTGCTCGTCATTATTCCCCTGCACTGGCAGAGCACGAAGTCTTCCGTGCCTCCATGCCTGGATTTTAAGGCCAGATTAGGTCATTTCAACATCATCCTGGCCTGGCAACCTGTAAATATCACAGTAAGGTACAAATCACTTATCAGCTATCATTATATGTTACAACCGAATGTTACACATATTTTAAGGGAATGATGAATGTTGCTATGAAATTGTAGCACACACACCTAAATGCAATATCCTGAATTCTCCCGGCATGACTGCTATAGTCGTATGCCCTATCTCAATGACCATCACGTATTATCACTGCGTTCACTGTCGTGTTTTGCGGCAAGTTAGGACACAAATAAACACGAATCCGAAAACTGGCATGTACTTCCTGTTCATTGTGCACTTTGAAACATTTTGTGCGCAGGCATCGCGCATAATGGCGTTATTATAGAGCATGTTGTTTTGTCATCGCTGCAAACGAGGAATTTGATGGACAATTTTGTGAATGTTGCTGTCATAACTAGATTATATCACAGCATTACCACATCTTTAAACAACTGTCTTTTGAACAGTTTTTGAGTGGGATTCAGCTCCAATTTGAAATGGAGACGGGGTCTGAGCCGGGCTTGGCCGGGGAACGGAAACCCGTTCCGCCTGCTGTATTACGACTCAGACAAGAAAATGGCGACGACGCTAGATGTAAAATAGTACGCCTTCATGCAATTGTTTTGTACGCGAGGGCAAAAGTAAATTTGCAAGCAGGTAATTTAAATAGTCAGGGTCAGTTTGAGGTCAAGACCGAGAATTTGGTGATTACTGCAGTACCATGCAGTTATATCATGCATACGCATTGTCTGTTTCTTTAAGCTTGCGAAAATTTTATGATTTTATAATTTGTAACTAAATGGCGTTCAGCGAACAATCCAACAGTGGATGGCCGGACTGTTCACATTGCCGCATAGGTCGGGTCCGTGTTTCCAACATCACTGCCAATCAGACGCATTTTTGGCATATTTCCTATCTTTCTAATCCTGGAACTTATAAAACAATAAATTCAAGTAGATTTACATCATGCTTTTAGTGTAAGATGAGTATGTACGTAAAAGAATAGTCGTAAAAATACTTCTTATTGAAAATGAGATCACTTGACCTAGTCAACAGTGTACAAAAAATGCAAAAAAGACGCAGTGGCGTAGCAAAGTATGGCGCAAAGAGGAGATATGGCCACCTGAGGCAAGATGTTTACAAAAGGTGCTGGGCAATTTCACGGGAATGCTGCCTGAATTCGGAGGATTTCGAAGAAAATTGACATTCGGTCCTCTGGGGAAAATGTTGGCCTCGAGTCCGGGGAAATGGTGCTGAAAATGTCTTGGGGCATTGTGTCGTTTTATTTTTACGGTGCACTTGAGGATTTTTAATGAGGTCACAAATGGCTCCCATTCGCACCAATTAGAAAGGCGATAAAACAGCATGCCGCTCATGCAACCTGACAAGGCCCCCGTTCATCGGTTTCTTCCGTCTTTTCTGGCCCGCAACATACATTTTCTTGATGGCGTTGGAGCTGTGAGTATCAAACATACGGAGGCACCCAGGGCACCCAGGCACCCACCATCGAAGACGCATGGGGCAACCGCAACCTAGCCATTTGCCAAATATCCATTTACATCATGCTTTTAGTGAAAGATGGGTATGTACGTAAATGAACAGTGGTAAAAATACTTCTTTTTCAAAATGAGATCACTTGACCTAGTCTACAGTATGCAAAAAAATGCAAGAAAATACAGTGACGTAGCCAGGCATGGTGCAAAGAGGAAATCATATATGGCGGCGGCGGCGGCATTATATATCATATAATCAATAGGCGGTGGCATCATATGTTCTCCGCAATGTGGGGCGCAACGCGCGGGAACCGACACAGAAGTCGTCACACTTCTGCGTCTTCTCATGACCTAGTCCGCCAGCTGAGTCACAGCTGAGCGCAGGTTCAGCGCGCGACAGCGGCTGAATATTGACTTCGCTTAATGGTGACGCAGAGGGGCATCAATGCAGCACGAGTGAGTCACGGCCATCGCTTTCTTCCGGTGAACCAAGGTTATGTTGGAGCTGCTGTTGCCAGAATAAGCGCGTCACGTTATAGAACGTTGCGCCGTGCTTATGGTCGTACCATAAACGACAGTGATGCAGACCCGGAAGGAGTTCAAGTAGATTGGTAATCTGAGAGATGGTAGAGATGGTAATTTTAAAGTTCAGTCAGTGCAGGTCACAGCCCTGCTCTTTTAAAGACTTAAAATACTCTGGTTTCTGAGCTCACGGCCGCGAACTTGTGCAGACCTTTTCAAGGACAGCCCGGCAAGCATGACGCCAAAAAAACGCGGTGCGAATGCTCTAACTCATTGGTCATATGGTACCCAAGGCCACGAAAATATGATCATGGAGTTGTTCGTGTCTGAACAACGTTGGCATCACATCTGGCAACAACGGACTTGAAATGGTTTTCAACCAATATAATGTGGTAAATGCAAGCTTCGAACATGCATCATGTTTTATGAAGCATGGTGCAGAAAGGTATGATGCATTTGCACCAGTTGTAATGAAAATAAATCCGGGAAACGAAAAAACTTACAAATAGCGCCATAATGCTCATGGAAGCAAATGATACAGAATCACGGAAAATATGTACAAGAGAAAGCCAAGACAGAGCAAGTTGAAATACTGCAAGGGAGGTACAAGTCCGCTGCAAGAGCTGTAAGTCCGCTGCGGTGGCAAATTCGCACGGCCAGTTTGGAAGCCGATCAGACGTCATGCAAACTTTACGTGACGCAGTCAAATAATGATGCATATAATCGTGACGCTGTGTTGTCTAGAGCAGTCTGTTGCACATAACAGCATGCTGCTCGTCACAAGTGATCTTATTTCATCGTAGCTGATACTTGCCTCAATATCTTTAAATGTGGAGCAGTCACTTTACTATTTTGATTAGCAAAACGAGAATTAACAAAAAGTACTTTGAATCAGGTGGCCAAGCCAAAGCGTAGCTCTGGGGCAAAAATATGAGAAATAGAACACTGTGACGCTTTTTCCACCGGGCTTATCAAATTTGTACACTGTTATGGCCAACTGGCCTAAATGACAGCCTGCACTGTGCTAAATAAGCTACGATGTTGCGAAAGGACCTTGCTGTCAGCTTGGAGCATGTGCCAACTTTAAAAGTTGGGAAGAGAGGGGAACAGATCCATTTGATTTTTTCCAGTCAACGTCCACGAGGTCAACACTAGATTTTCAGAAGGTTCTGGGCCTCGGTCTCTGTCCTGTTCCCCAGTTTCCGCACCCCCAGGCCTCATGGTGGTGCAGCGCATGATACATAGGGAATTTGCATAGCGATGACCCCTAAGAAGAGCGCCAATCATTATACTCTTGATTCCTCACCTGACTTTTTAAAAAATTGAACGGCTTTGATGGTTTTACGACAGTCGCCCTACCCAAAATTGGTGGCACCGCCCCTCTACACCCACCCACTCAACCATATGATTATATATATATATATATATATATATATATATATATATATATATATGCGTGTCTATATTGTATGTATGTATGTGTGTGTGTGTGTGCGTGTTTATGTATGCATATGTGTGTGCGTGTGTGTGTGTGCGTGCGTGTGTGCATGCATGCATGGGTGCTTGTGCGTGTGCGTGTGCGCGTGTTTGTGTGAATGTATGTGTATATATGCTCCACGGTTGGATTCTGCAGAACCAGACACACACATGGCGGGTAACAACAAACTGTTTCGAGTTTATTGACGCTCGCAAAAATAATTGACAGCTCGGAAAGCAAACAATTATTGATTGTCACACGAGTAAATGGCAACATGGCCCCAACCGACAGCACGCCCCACCACGCCCCTGTGCCGCTGACCGCACGCTGGAGCAGGCACACGCACGCACGCACACACGCACGCACGCATACAGGTAGGCATCCACACGCACTCAGGCGCGCTGGGAAGCTCTAGGGTTCGCACCGCTCGTTATTGCTACCGAACTGAGGATGGGTCGAGCACACTAGTATGGCACGGTCGCCCACGGTATCTAAAATGTAGACCACATTGAGCAAGATTTGCGATTAACAGCCGCCTGGCTAGGCGATCATGCATGCCGCTGACTCCCCACTCGGCAGACACGATCACGGAGCAGCTGCGGGACCAGCCAGTTCACCCCGCCGCAGCCGCGCACACTGGACGCCTCGGCTCGGCCGGTTGTCTCCAGACGACGCCTCACCCGCTCATGGTCAGTGTGCGAGCGGTCAGGCACGCGTCACTGCTCGCCAGACGCAGGCGGGCGCGGGACGCGTCACTGGCCTGGCGCGAGGCGCTCGCGGGGCGCGTCACCGGCCCGGCGCGAGGCGCTCGCGGGGCGCGTCACTGGCCCGTCGGGAGGTGCTCGCGTCACTGCGCCGCCGGCGTCTGCGCGCCCGGCGCCGTGGCGGACGGCGGCGTCACGCCGTCGGCAGGCGTCGGCGATACACGGCACTCCACTCGACGCACTCTTCCCCCGATCGACCTCATGCCGGCGTCGAGCACGGCGCCGGGCGCTGCCGGCTCTCTCTTGCGCACAGGCCACGCCGCCGGTCGGTCTCGGCCGCCCTTGCAGTCCTGCTGATGTGTGCGAAGCTGCTCGCATGCTTCCTTCGCGGTCGTCAGGGCTTGGCGGCTGCCTTTGTCCGACGACGCTCTGTGAAACCGCCCGCGAACACGTACTGTCGTTGGAGAGCCACGTTACGAATACCGTAGCGAGTGTCCGAAATCTGCCAGACGACGAAGAAATAAAGACTAATGGTAAATCGATGGCGACGGCTGGAGAAGCAATACCGTTTCGTTGGACATCAGCTGCGGGTACATTTCGTTTCCCGGCCGTTCTCTGCTCGCTCGGCGCTGCCTAGCGCCTGTACCGGAAGCGATGAATGAGGTGGAGCAGGGTCTCACCAAGCGGCCACCAACGAATTATACCCCGGCGCGCGGCCCAGCGCATCAGAAGGCCAATCTACGGCGGCAGCGTTCTGAAAATCCTTTCAAATTGGACTCAGCCCTCGGCGCCCAATGCTGTTCTCGGCGTGCGGCCTGGGTGCCAGCCCATGGCGGTATCGGGGGGCGCGGTCGCAAGGTCACGTCAGGCCAGCCGAGCGGGGCCCAGCGCACCGGTGCCGGTCGCGGGGCGCGCTGACCTCGTGCGTGCCGCCGGCCGCCTGCCGATGAGCGGGCCGACTGCCGAGGGAGCCGGCCAATGACCGTCCGGTGATAGGGGGTCTGGGCTCGAGACGGACCGTCACGCACCGGCACACCCGACCGAGCCGGAGCACGTCATGCTGGGCGGCGGCGCTCTTCGATGGGATTAAAACATCCCCGAGGCGGCAGCGGACGATCCCTGGCGCCACGGTGCGTTCGTGGCGGCCCTTCTGGCCCCCTGGGACGGGCAACCTGGTCTCCAGGGGCGACAGGCTGGATGGAAGTGGGATGGGTTGGAGAACGGTCGCCGTGCAACTCTGATACAGAGTCGTGCGTCCCATGATGGCCTCAAAATATTCCGCCCGATGCTTCATTCTTCGTGGAGTGTTAAACATGTGATAAATTATTTGGAATAAATTACCCGATGCAAACATAGGTACCTACAACATAATTTAGCCAAGCACTTGATCGGCATTGTGCTTTTGTAAATACAGCTGCAACAAAGTAAGCTTTATGCAATGCTACAAAAATGCAGCTCAATTCGACTTCATTAGCTTTCTCCTTTGATTTCTGTTATCCATTTTAGCAAACGTTTTACCTGGACCTTTTTGCATTTGAAATAAAATGGTTCCAATGAAACTACAACCGGGTAAAATTTGAATATCTCGCCAGAGTTTCGGGTAGGTAAGTTAATTTCTACTGAGACTCGGAGCCCCTAGCGTTTTCAGTCCTAAATCTAGCATCGGGGGGAATTAATTTGCTTAATCAAAGTCTTTCCGGAAGAAAAGGGTGAAATATACCATCTCATTTCAACTGCTATTAAATGGCATAGTTAGATTTAATTGGGGCCTCATGTAAGGTAATGCACACAGTTGCGGCGCCCTAAAGCAATGCGATAATGCGCTGGCCGGTTTGAAACACAGCTTCTCAGACAGCAGCTTCCACAACACATCCATCTCCGTCCGGGCCCGGCCTGCGGCTTCAGTGGTGGCGCCCTGAGGTCGGGCAGTGAGCGTGTGGTCGCGCCCAGTCGGCCGCGACGCGGCGCCTTGATGACGCCGGCTGTGCTCCAGCCGTCCCGGTCCGCCTTGATGACGACGCGGGTGTCCCCCGGCGCGCTCGGCCCGCCTTGATGACAATGTCGCCGGTGTCCGTGGCGCCGCTCGGCCGTGTCCAGCCGCCCGCCGCCGCCACTGTCGTCCATCAGCCGCGAGGACGCGCGCCGGCGCCCGTCGGCGTCGACGACGTCACGCGGCGCGGCTCACACGTCACCGGCGAAGACGGCCATCTGGTGCGCCACCTCCGACAGCTGCACGTCGATTGCCTGGGTGGTGTCGTACAGGAACGGCGACTCGCACAGGATGACGAACGTGCCGAGCAGCGAGACGACGCCGAACAGCAGCAGCAGCACCCTGTCGATCACCATGGCGATGAACGCCCAGTCCTGGTCCTCCTGCAATCAGACGGGCGACGCGATCAATAGGGTGGCGTCTGTTGCACGCCCGCCGACGCCGGCCGGCCAACTGCCGGCGCCGGCTCGCTTCGAACGAGCGAGCCGCGAACGAACGGGCGGCTCGCGGCTCGCGCGGCTCGCCGGTCGGCCGCCGTGGGCCCGAGTCCCTCCCGCGCGAGCCGCTGTTTACCGAGCCGGCCACGTCTTCAAATGAGACGCGACGAAAACAGCGAGGCGAGCGAACCGGCCCCGGCCAGACCAGAGGCCCAGCTCTCGCTAGATCGCTCCCAGCACAGCCGAGTCAGCCGGCCGGCAACAAAAGCTGCCCGGTCGCGGCGCCGCGGGGCGGAACGGGGCGGACCGCGCCGAAAACAGACGGAGCGCGGCCGACAAGACGCCCAGGCGCGCTCAACTGGTGCCGCGCCGGCCGCCGCTCGCCAAAACGGCGGACGGCCAGAGAGGGGCGCCGCTGCGGGAGATGATTACCGCAGCGCGCCGGCGCTGACAGCATACAGCGCAGTTCAGGGAAGTTTCAGTACCGGATGGAAAGCTGTAAATCGCTCCAGCTTATCCCAGATCAAATACTGAGCGTTTGGTAGATGTGCGGATGGGTCAGAAGAAATGGAAATGCAACTGCGTGCATTTAGGAGCGCCAATCCGTGAGTATCACGTGGTCGTGAGTATACCATGAGCAGGAGGTACATAACCCTGCAGTAGCTTCACTCGGTCGTCCTGCCACAGCACAACGCCGCACTGGCAAAAGTTACCTAATCTATAGCCTCCATTCATCTCAGTGAAATATCAAATAAATAAAGTCGATGCGAAATGGCCTACCATAAAAGTCCTCATAAATCCGGCGGGTCCTTCGACACAATTTTCGGACGACCTGACACATGGTCACAAACTCACAACCATTTACTTAGCAGGCCGATCCTGTGACTCCGAACCAAAGCTGATCGCAATGGTTCTCGGAAATCTCCGCCATCTCAAGAAAATACAATGCGTATGGTGTCGCTTCAAGTTTGGCTACTTGATGTTGCATATCTTCGACCCATGCAAGGCTCCACTGAGCAAATACAAAAGCATTGCGGACGGTATGGCAACAACGTCAACTGGTTCTGCAAATGTTTATGTGCGCAAAGTCGACACGTTGCCGACCTCCGCACAAACACCCGCTGAGACACCCATCCTACCCCGGCACTCACCTCGTCAAACTGGTCCTGCACCTTCCAGCAGTGGTGCACGAACTTGACGTTCTGTATGGCGCGTTCGATCTCGAACGGGTAGCGCCGCTCGTCACCGAAGAAGTTCAGAGCCTGGAGCCGGGCGCTCTCATCCATCTCGGCGTGCACAGGCTGGAACGCGCCGAGGGGGGCGCTGGCACTGGGCTCGAATGGAGCCGACGCCGGCGCGTCGCGCTCCGGCATGCGCATCAGGATGAACCGCGGCAGCTCGTGGATGAAAAAGCTGCGCACCCAAGGCGCCATCTTGTGCGTGGACGGCTTGCGGTAGTGGATGTTGAGGATGACGATGGTGGAGATGACGGATATGGTGACCAGGATCATAGTGAACAGCAGGTACTTGCCGAGCAGCGGCACCGCCAGCGACGTCGACGGAATGATCTCCGAGATGAGCAAGAAAAACATGGTCTGCGAGAGCAGGATGGTAATGCAGAGGGCCACCTTCTCGCCGGAATCGGCCGGCAGGTAGAACACGAGCACCGACAGGTACGAGAGGCCCACGCACGGGATGATGAGGTTCACAGTGTAGAACAACGTCTTCCTGCGCAACGTCACGTTGAAGTAGATATCTGAAAAAGACGTATACGGTGTAAGTGAGGGAGTTTATCGGCGGGCACACATCCACGGAGTGCCGCTGGCAATCTGCTGAGTGCTGCTGAGTGCTATTGAGTGCCGCCGCCAACAAGTGTCGGTAATCGCCCGGCTGATCAATATGCGGTACATGTTCCATGCGGCTGTCTAACTGGGGCTTTAACGGCTTCGGAGACGCATCCGGCCCAAACATATGGCAATGACATCGACATTTCTCAGGCCTACGACGATGAGTCCTTGCGCGAACAGTCGGCAGGACTGTTTCGTTGGTGACGTAGATGTGGAGCATCCAAGAGGGACCAGACTAGCGGAATGCATCATCCAAACGCCTTCAATGCTTTTGTCTCATTTGCTCCAAGGAAGTCCTAGTCCCCGTCACATATTCACACGCCAAAGTAAGTCTTCTTCCTGACATACTTACGTCACTTGTTAGCTGTGCCATACCGTTTACACACATCTGTAGTACTAAGTATGCCCAACATCACGCAGTGATCTCAGTAAAGTACCGCCTTTGTGAGCAACAACCTTAGATGGTATCCAACGATAAGCTGTTCCGTCTACAGGGGGCCAAAATGTGTTAAATATGAATATGCTTCCGTGTCCAGTGCTAACGCCGATGCCTTGACATTTACTATTATGTATCGCACCCCATCATTCTGCAACTAAAACGACTGAAGGGAGCAGCCATTTAGCCATCTGGCCAGTTTTAAGTGACCTTGCACTTTATAGCGTCATCCACTCTCTTGGTCTGTAGCAGGCCACATCATAGTGCCTAATCGTGTCTTTTGCCTCGCTGTCTGACGCAGTCGCTGGCTGTGCGTGGTCCGAACACTACATGCTCCGTTGATCCAATTCGTGCGCGCTCCAACTGATCCACGTGCCTAACCGTGTACAGCATGCAATTTTTTCATGCTATATGGCAATGGGCGCCAGCATTTCCGGGAGCCTTATTTATGGCGTAGCTTTTCTGATGTGGTCACTGCTTAGAATAGGAAAAATGTTCCATGGATGATGCAAACCACATAATAAATGGCCGGCTCCCGTTTGAATCCAATGCTGCATCGCTCGATCCATAACACAGCCAGACGTGATTTGTATCCGCCGAAGCTGTTCCGGCCTGCCAAATCTAAACCCCGGTCACCTCATAACATAGGGCTGACACGATCGACCCCGGTCGGACGTGCTCCTGGCGACAGACAGCTGCCCGCGAGCGTCTGGAGTGCACGACTGATGCAGATGTGACCTCGATTGAATTTGGCGCAAGTTGTCTCAGCACCAAACTACGGACATGAAGTACGAATTCCAAAAATGCATCCGGAAATCGGTACATCATTACCCGAGGGCGAATCTATGGAGGTGCATGCTCGGAGATATTTGTGTGGTGACCCTCCACCCACGCTTCAAGTACAAGTGGCCCCAGGTTCAGAGCTACGGAATGAGACGCTCTGTGGGAGAGCGAGATTGAATTTTGTACAAAAGAATGGGGTGTGAAACCATCACGCGGCGGGAGCAGCCGTCCCGGAGCGTTGAGATAAAGCTACGGTCCAACGCTGCCTGCCATGCGTGCCTGCCAATCCAGATCCAGAGACTGATAATCTACCCGACGCCGTTCTACAGCGCTGTAACCAGCGGCCTTTCGCGACGGCGCCTGAGGCGTCATCGCACTCGTGCCCGCAGGACAGGCCCGGCCGGCGGCAGCCCTTATCTCGGCTGTCTCATCAGCCGGCGGCCCTCCAGCCCAAGTTACCCCATAGCAGCCGTAACAAATCTCCGATAGCTCCATCGTCGGCAGAAGAGCACTGCACTCCGTCGCGGAGAGCGGGCGGTGCTTGCAAACTGAAGCGTCAGGAATTCATCTGCGTACTCTTCCGCCTCAAGATACGCTCGCAGGCGCTCATTTGCATAAGGCGACAGAACGGACCAGCGGGCGTTTTAAGCGTGAGATCGTTTGACCCTGGCAAGGGCGGGAGAAACTGAAATCAGTTGCTACCTTCACGGGATTATGTTTCGGAATAGCTCCAGTTATTTTGAAGTAATCCTCGTGAAGCCTTTAGTATGCTCTGCAGGCTTAATTCCTCACATGGTGTGGCAGTTTGAGATCCAGGTGGATCACCTCAGCGGCTTTTAGCTGGGGTACACCGGAACGAATCACGTCAGCGGCTTTTAGCTGAGGCATGTCGGACCGGATCACGCCAGCGGCTTTTAGCTGAGGCATGCCGGAACGAATCACGTCAGCGGCTTTTAGCTGGAGCATACCAGAATGGATCACGTCAGCGGCTTTTAGCTGAGGCACGCCGGAATGAATCACGTCAGCGGCTTTTAGCTGAGGCATGCCGGAACGAATCACGTCAGCGGCTTTTAGCTGAGGCATGTCGAAACGGATCACGTCAGAGGCTTTTAGCTGAGGCATGCCGGAACGGATCACGTCAGCGGCTTTTAGCTGAGGCATGCCGGAACGAATCACGTCAGCGGCTTTTAGCTGTAGCATACCAGAATGGATCACGTCAGCGGCTCAGTGGCATCAACGACTCTTTTGGTATCAAAAACACAGCTGTGCCCTGTATGGTCGCTAATCTATGGCGGGTCAAAGACGGGCCAGCGTGATTTCTAGGGAAGCGTTCTGTGCGATGGGACCACGGAGTGTAGTAAGGAAGCCAGTCGCATTCAAGATGGTTTTTTAGACAATTAGACAATTCATTTAGGATTACGACTAATCCCATCAACCTTGCGCCAGGTAAAGAGACTGAAGTTACGAGCACGAGTTTAAGCCCAATCGCACTTAAGTTGGGGACCTTGGTTTCGGGGGTAGTTTTTGACGCTCATTTCGGTGCCGCCGGGACATCAGCAGACATCTTATTTAAGCCTCGTTAAGGTCAATTGAGGCCACCAATGTAAAATCTCCCAGTGAAAGTTAGGAACAAAACGTCCCACGTAGTATTTCACGCATATTTGAATTCAAATATGAACACAATCTCAGAGGTTTTTGCTATACATGACCTTCTGAATGTCAAATAAAGCAATAAGATGGCATGAAGACCAGTGATCTTTTGCTTAGAAGAGGTATCTAGGTTGAAGGGAGTGCTCCACATTTGTATGGGGTTCTGAACTGAAATATCCACATTGAAAACCTTTCGATGTAGTTCGCGGTCATACACTTCTTAAAACCTAAACCTCTCTGGCTACTGAGCTTTAAGGCCGCAAGGATGTGGGAGAGTAACTGTAGGAGAACATTTTTAGGTCACCTTGGAATGCATGATGTCATAATAATATCATCTAAATTCTATTATTCCATTGTCCACACGCCGATCAAGGCCAAGGAAGATATAACAGTCGAGTCGCTCATGGCGTGCGTGAGCACAATTTCTAGACACACCGGCTGCCACTTGGCTCTCAATAAGTCTTGTGCAGTGGATGATGACGCAATCAAGCAATGACGTAACGAGAGGCACATTTACTAATTAGAGAAAATGTATTGTCTGGAGCAGTCTCGTCCACTTAAAAGTATACCACCAATTATAAGTGAATATTTCATCCTATTTCACAGTTGGTTCAGTCTCTTCAAATGTAGAATATTCCCTTTAAAGGTGGTTGCATGAGAAGGCCCGAGGACATTGCAGGCACCAATCCGGAGTTTGGCCTTATTTCACCTGAACGTTATAACCTAGGGACCTCACAATTGGTCACAGGTGAGTTCATGAATGCCCATCTCCTCTGTAAATTTGTGCTATTTACTTCCCTCGATTTATGAAATACCGGGGGCAGATAAACCCTCACCAGGGCACGTCGCATTCATCCGATCACCAGGGGGCGCCGATGATCTTTGGCATAATCAAGTATACATCCCGAAAGGAAACGCACAAAATGTAGGATCGCAGATCGAGGACGATCGTTGGACTATATGTGTAGATAGCTTACGCAGCGCTACTTGGCGCTGTCAGGGATGTCGCAGCAGCGAGCATTCGACAAGCTGTTTATTGTGGTCAGACTGGAACTGTGCGGAACCGAAGCATTGCGGCAGCGATAAGATAGTCAAATACACAGCGGCGGCGACATGACTGGCTTGAAATTTCCGGCTTGCAAAAACGGGGGCGCTTATGGCCGACCGATAACCGAGTACAGACCGTCGTTTCAATTTTAAACGCTTCATTTGCATGCCATACTAGGCTAAGCTCGTTCCGCTAACGAGCCTGTTCCAGATTTATATGGGGTTTTGAACTGGGACAGCCATTTCAAGATAATTTCCTGCAGTTTACAGCAATGATCTTTTCGGACTTCATGTCCTCTCGTTTGTGAGGCTTGGCGTACGCGAATTTGTGCAAACCGTTAATTTCATATAACTAATCTTCATCCATCATTTCAAGTCACTCAAGCCTAATTTCAAGTCACCAAGAAATGTGTAACGGCCTAGAAACGTCCCAAGAAATCTGCCTCCTCATTAGTCATATTGTGTCCCAGGTCAAGGACAAAGGTAACCATTGACTCAATAATGTCTGGCTGGACGTCAGTACTAGTCGCTGGTGCATAATACAGGCATTTGGGCGGTTCTGCTAGCTGTGACGGAAATGAAGCTGGCAATAGAGAAGATAAGAAACGCGCCGATACCAATCACGCAAACGCAAGTAAAAAGTATCATCGCAGACAAATGTACAAGGCCGCCACGAGAAATGGCCAACACATGCGCAGATAATGATTGCAAGTTCAGCTCACATGCATAAATAACAAGCGACCTTACGGCGAGTTGAAGTATTACAAGAGACTCAGCCCGTTCACTATAGTGGCAATTCTGACCGCCAGTCTGATAGTTCTCTGGCGTCATAAAGACGTTCGTGATGTAATCAAACGATTACGTAACAAGGAACACATTTTTTTAATAGTGAAATTTTGCTGTCAAGAACGATCTTCCGCACTTCAAATAATACCAATACAGGTGAGCTTTCCCCATCATATCTGATGTTTGCCTCAAGATCCGCAAATCTTTACCACGCCTTTACCTTTACATTCCATTGTTATCAGTATACACTGCATGGCTTTGAAGGTGCTCTAAAAATGTTTTGTGAAAACTCAGCAATTGCTAAATAGAACTTATCTTCGCTCACTGCAAGTGGTGAGTACGTGCAGTTGTTTTCCCGCGGCTGCCTTGGCGGTGGAGGCACGATTTTAGCCTTATGAACTGCAAGTGGCGAACGTCCATCACTTGTGCGCATACACAGGGGCATACACACATATAAACCCCGGAGGCACGTGCTCCTCTTACAAAATCTATGGCACATATTAATAGTCAAGTCAAGTCAAGTTGTCAACGTCAACGTCAACGTCAAGTCCGTCCCGTTGGCTCAGTTAGCTAGAGCGCCTGTCTTCCGCTCCACCCACCCGTGGCAGGGTGGGTTCGAGTCGCTTTAGGGCGCTCGCTATTTGCCCTTGACAGGTATGGCCTGCGGCCGGTGGCAGCGGTCACGCTGAAGGTCAGTTGACGTCATAGGGCAGGACGGACCGTGTCGAGGATTGCGGTACGTTAAGCTTTCGCCACTAAATTCTGCCGTTGCCTGGAATTGCGCGATCGGGTGGTGGGGGTCAGGGCTCTTACAACAAACACTGCTTAGCGTGAGCGCTGATCCCATAAATCCATCCATTCAAAGGGTTCGGATCAAATTTTTTTAAAAAAATGCTCCCTTATAGAGATGTTGGTGGATGCTCCTTTTGCTCTTCAGTTCTTCATGGATTTCGAATACATCATTCTGCATGCCCGGTTGGTCGCGCGCCTGGGTGGTTGGTTGAATACCCTTCGTTCGGGTGGGGGTCAATTTGGCTCCACTGAGATCTCAGGAACTAAGAGATCTGGACACACCAAATTCACAGGGTGCGTTGATCTGTGCGTGGAATAAGTTTTGGTCAAAGGTCAAAGTTTGAGGCTACTAGGTCATGACCTTCGGGTCCTTCGGTTCAGATAAGAACAAACAAGGTCAAACTCTAGATTGTTCTCCGAAGTGCCCCTTGAAACTAGATACTTTTCCAAAGAAAAGGCTACACACTCATTGAAGGACAGTGACCTTTTTTGACCTTCTGAAGGTCATGGTGACCAAATTCGTACGAGACTGCTTTGAGTTTTGCATTTGAATAACCGTCAAAGATTACGCTAGGCAGGATGTTCCTGAAAGCAAAATGTTAACCGGGATCATTTTAGGACATTGACTTATAATGACCTTTTATAAGTCCAAAGGCGGTTCCTATTATCAGTAAATTCGATATGAGCACCAGAAACTATCCCATACAGCAAGCCCTATAGCAATAAAACAGGGTGGTTTTTACCTTCATACCTGATCATAAGTCAATGGAGTTTGTTCGTTCAGTCTTTGTGATGTCTAACAAATTATCTCAGAGATGTATGGCATCGTCCAACACTCCATTGTTGCATCAGAATGAACGACTTCCTAGAACTTGACTTCGCTAAATTCATGGGCTGTCTCGGACCTGTCGTAAGTCAGTGACCTCACAAGGTACATCTACATTTGTCATACCCAACGATCCGCTATTCAATTGTCTACAGCTATGCAAAAGTTGGCGCGGCCGCGCCGCGCCGTTCTGAAAACATTCTGGAAAAAATTTTCGGGGAGGAGTCATCAATTTGAGCCCACCCGATCCCGCGTTAAACGTGGGATGTATGCACATATTTTTAGGCGCTTTCGTGCACTGCTTGATCTGGCTGCTTCTTCCTGCAATATTGTGGCATCGCTATAATTTTACCTCACCTATTTGATAAGTGGCAAGTGTTAATGGCAAAATGGCAAGTAAAATGATTAATAACAAAACGGCTGAAAACATGGGACAAAACCGTGTCCGAATTTCGACGGCATGGCGTCGCAGCCGCACACAACTTATCAATATTAGCGTGGGAGGAAACAGACACAAGTGCTGGCAAACAAGTAGGTAGATGCCCTTGGAAGAGCACGCGTTACTGCACGCAAACTATGGATCATAGGTTATTCATATACGTATATGTATATGACCTTTAACTCCGTTTAGTGCGTTTTTTAGGAGGTGTTGTCCGATCTCAATAACCAGCACAGATAAGAACGTGAAACAAGCTGCATGGTGTTGCCAAATGTACAGGTCCGAGGTTGCTAGCAAATATCGACCTTGAATGACGTATAAGTGCGCCAGTAATCGAAATGAACAAAACCGAGGCCACAAATTGTCGAAATAGGTTTCAAATTGAAAATGCTGTGGTCGATACCGAAGGGGACTGAGAAACAGCAACTGTGCCAACGAACAGTCCTGTTCATGCTGGCCAACCACGCCAGCAAACCACTCGCGTTTTTTTTTTTTGCAAACGGTCACAATTACCGAAACTGTGCACTGTTGCAACTTCATCGATGTCGGCGATTCAAAATGGCAAGCCTGACCACATACTTAGCCTGCCACTTCTTTAGCACTACGGGTTATGTAATATGACTAATGCTAAATCAGTGATTTCGTCTGTGAAATTGACATGGGAGTTCCACGCGCATCGGTATAACCAATGGTTATCTGTTGTTAAGGCTGTCTGGCTACACTAGTTGAATTTTGACAAATGTGTGACAACTGACAACTTCCGCATTCGTAATCGCCTAACTCGCCTTATTTCGCACGAGGTGTGTTACCGATACAATGTGTATAATGTGTCAGCCATTCAGGACAGCATTTTTGCTCAAAAATGCATTGCGTGGACATCTGCGAAGACGAGCAAGCATACATTCTATAACGAAGTTAGATGCAATACTGGGGTAAAACGATCGATGGCTTGGACCTCACATGCAAAAATTAGCCATGTCGAGTGTAAAAAATAAAGACCTCGCAAGGACTTAAGGAACGAAAATTATCATTAATCTCCAGCTTGAGAAGTGCGTAGAGAGAGCGTAAGGGGTTGCTTTCAAACGCCATCAGTTGGTAACGCAGCCCGTCACTGCAAGGGCATTGCTGTATTGGTAGTGCTAGAAACGCATCATCTTCACATGGGGCTGAATGTCGGTGACCGTGCTAGCGAAACATCCGACTAGCTGCGTCAGCATAAACCATGATCTGAACACACGTTGTCAAAGCTATCCCTCGTTGCCAGATACATCTCACAAATAGCGCGCTTTCTATTCTATGACGGACTACGTGACTTATTTCCAGCGCACAAAATACAACAGCATGTTTGAGCCTTGCCACGCGATCTGAAAACTCGGCTTCGGTTTCGTCAGCTTTTGAACAGGCTGTGGCCCATTCTTCATGGGCGCACGAGTGCATTATCTCCATCAATCAGCCGTCCGGAAGCGGCTGGCTGAGTGCCTCCGACCGGGAGGCAGGCAGTCGCTTAACTCACAGAGGTGCCCAGCAAGTCAACGATAAACCTCTCCAGATAGCCGTGCCATGTTGTGCAGGCCAACTGTCTTAGAATGCGCACGATACTGCGCCAAGCCAGTGTTTATGGTGTGTGCAGTCAACGCCGTGAAAGCAAAAAGTTTACACCTATAGCTCCTTTTGAAAAGACAGACTATCCCCAGGCTTCTATTTACTCGTGTGTATATCTACTGGCTCAACCAGCTTAGGCTTGGGACCAGCTGTATGACAACTGACAACTTTGGAAAATGCGATCGCTTAGCTCGCCCCATTTCGCGCAAGGAAATTTCCTTAAATGTTGCTTGGCATGTGTCAGAAATTGAAAACAGTATTTTTGCCAAAAAATGCATCATGTAGACATCTGCGAAGATTAAAAAACAAATGATCTGTAACTAAGCCACAAGATGCAAGACTGGGAAAAACGTTCGATGTCTCCGACCCCAGACGCACAAGTTATGTGTTAAGCTCCGTAGACACATGCGTTAAACAATCGCTATACAGAATGGCACGTGCGAATCGCAGGTGAATTCACATTTACGCGTCAAATGCAACGGCTTATGTATTGCAATCAGGTCAGCATAAGTAGCTCAGTTTCGTCAGTTTTCGTATAGACAGAGCAGTGCATAATTCTGCCACAATTCGCCGTTGACAGATATGGCCTGCGGCCGGTAAAAGCGGCCGCATTAAAGGTCAAGTGACGTCGGGGGCAGGACGGGCCGTGGCGATCATTGCGGCACGCTAAATTTTCGCCTCTGAATTTTGTTTTTGACCAGGAATCACACGATCGGATGGCAAGAGTCAGGGTTTCCACAACAAGCACTGCACAACGTGAGCTCTCCTCCCATAACCCCAGCCAATCATTAAAGAAATTCACGAAGCTAACAGTAGGCAAACGAGACGAACTCAGATTCGGTCTCAGCTCTTCATCCTGCGTTCGGTCGTGCGCATCACTTGTTTACTCATTACATCTGAACTAATGCTCTTAAATGCAGAGAAGTGCTATAAATAAAGCGTGCCGTGTCCGTCTGTCCCACTCCTTCCCCTAGCTCGCCTGACCCTCGCTCCCAGCCTCTCATTTACCGACAGGGCCTGCTGTTTATACTGCATGCTCTACCTCTCTAATCCTTTCTCTACGCCTGGCTTTCATTCGTTCACCCTTCCTGTCTCTCTGGACGTCCGAAATTGTCAGCAGCAGAAAGTGTCGAATTTCACCAGCTCTGATCCGATTAGGGCTGACGATCCTCCCCCGGAGGATGTCTCAGCAGCGGGTAATCGAGCCGAGCCGGCTGAAGCGGCCGCCACACACCTGGGTACGGCTCCACGCAGCAGGGGTAGAATTTCTCGTGTCGCGTGGCGGGCGCGCGCAGAATGTCCCACTCCACGCTCGGGTAGTACTCCTTCAGGTCAATGCCCAGTTCCACGAAGTTCGAGTCGGCCGATTGATGGATGTGACGCAGGTCAATCTGAAATAGTGGTGCTCAGTCAGCGGGTGTCCGGCGCTCCATCAGCCGGCCTTTTCCCCCACCCCTGCGGGCTCTCTGACCGACTCAGCCGCTCGTCGGACTCAGTACGGAGGATCGTGACATTTACAAAACGTGCCACTCGGCGAGGCTATAGGGGGGCAAACGATCACCTTCCATAAAAATATCTTTACGCCGGTGTTTCTTGCTCCCGTTTTGGGCGAAAATGACAAAAAGTTGTTCTGCAGGTCGGACGTAGTCAGAGGCATAATGATGGGCCAAGACATTGAGATAGCTACTCATTCTACAGAAAGCGTTTTCCAGCTTGATTGTGCATATATTGAGGATGTTCTTGCATGCACGTTTGCGCCATGACTGAGAACCTGCACATTTGCTGTGGAGATGCTGTGGAGATGAATCAAGGTGGAGATGTGATGTGATTTCTTAAATTATTTTTTTTTCCAGTTTATACAACGAAGGCACACAACCCTCGCTGTACAAACTAGGTGTCTTTCCACACCTGCAGCCCGTTGCATCCATTTGTGGGGTGATAGAGGTGCATTTTAGCAAGTGGGAGGATGGAGCGAAGAACATCTAAGAATAAGAAGGAATGCCCTTCAAGGATGGGCAGTATCAATGCTTATAACTTCTGATATGATGTCAGTGACATACAACACTGACTGGGTGCTGGTATGTCGTTGGTATTGCAGCTGCTTCATTTGAATAGGAAAATGGTTTATCGTACTTTTGGCATAGGTAGTGGAGCTCAGAAGGCAACAGTAAATTGGACAAAACAAATCTAAAACTACACTGAAAAAGCCTCTACATATTATGTGTTTTGAGGATAATGAATAACTCCAACGAGCATCTTGAAGTATCTTGACATTTTATCTTTTCGCACTCCGAGGAGCTGTAACAGGGTTGAGACCGTACCGAATGTAGCATTTTGTAATCCAGTTCATTATCAGCTGGCCGTTGAGTTTGTGCATAGTTAATAGAGTCGAGGATTTATAATTCGACCTGAATTCTCAAGTAAACATTTGAGTACAAAACATCCAACAAATTTTGATATTGCTGGCCATCTCTCTCATCACAGAACTAAAGAGCAGGCCGGTTTACAGGTATGAGATAAAACGCTTTTTATTGTCATGAGATTGTACAAAGAGCAAAAAGACGCTAGAGATGTACACCATTATCTTATGCATGTACTGATATCAATCTTGTATGACTTTCACATAGATTCTGGTAATTTAGACCGTGTTGGGAAATGAGAGGCCTAACTATTGGTGCCCAAATTTTAACTTTCACGACACTGCCTAAGTGTGCAAACCCACAAAGAGCTTGAATTTCAGTTGTCTTGTCACTCTCTGAAGGGAATATACGATAACATTGCAGCCTGCAGCACACATAAAGCTATCAATTTTCCGTTTAGGTAAAAAATACCACCAAACATTAATCTTTCAAAGCGAAATGTTCCGTGTCATGAAATATTAATGTCACCTTATTACCACTCCAACTCATCAGACGTCTGCAAACTGTGATAGTAATGTCACCAAACCACACGTTCTAGTTCGTTTTTTCCACAATTATAACCACGACATTGATATTTCATGACACAAACATGCTCCCTTGACAGTTTAATTTGTAGTGGTATTTTTGGGCTCAAAAGAAAATTTATGGTGAAAAGTGGAAACCTGGGTATCATCAGCTAAGTCCCTCACTTCCTAGCACGGTCTAAATCAACAAAATCTAGCATGAAAGTCATACAATATTGATATTGGCAGAGGCATAAGACAGTGGTCAACACCCATAGTTTCCTACCTCCCTTTAGCTCCATATGCGATATCATGACAATAAAAGGTGTTAGCGGTACAAATCGTTGAATTTTATTTCATAAGGCTTCCAGGATTTCACATCACGATCCTCAACGCCACAAGGCCGTCTTTTGCCAAATGCCCTCAAACCCGGGAAGACGGCGAAGCCTCCTAATAACAGAAGCATTATCTTGCCAGCCGGCATCTCCTTCAGCGTGCCAACCTGTTTGCTGGTGGCACGTAAGCAGAGACTCTGAGTAAACAATCTCATAATTCATCCGATTTTTTCCGCCAACTTTGGCAAAACAGTCGGTGCACGGAGAGCCGTGTTGATTACCCTGAGTTCCGAGCTCTGGAGAAATTGGGGACAGGTCTTTCCGTGTAGGCTTCTGGACAAATTGAGATGAACATCGTCTATCACTGGAGCCCAAATCTGGTGGGGTCGCAACACGTCGTCACGGCGGCGCCGGGAGAGATGGCCGTGATTTCCGCATGTTGGCGCGTTAGTTTTGCCGTCACATCGCCAAGGGTGGCAGCCTGTCGGCAGCCGTGATCCAAATGGCGCGCTGTCCCGGGGCCGGTGCTAGCGGCGCTTTACGGGCTCGGCGTCACTTCAAGCATGACGTGAAGTAACCCAGGCTGTATACTACCAGCGCGCACAGTACCCGGCTTTGAGAACCGGTCAGGCGTGACGCACAGTGACTGCGGCTCGGCGCCACCTCACCAACAGACGCACAGTAACCTGGCCTCGAGACCCAATCAGACGCGACGCACAGTGGCTCCGGCTCGGCATCATCTCACCAACAGACGAAGCAGGTGAGCCAGCATACAGTAAACGGCCAGTTTTATAAGCATTTCCTTCTGCAGAAAACGGCCCTGTGGTCCCCCAAGGCACCACTCTGGATACGTACTAGCATTCATGCGCACATACATATCCTCATATAAATATATATACGTAGATATGCATATATGAATATATAGAGAGCGAATATATATATATATATATATATATATATATATATATATATATATATATTTAATAGCACATCCCTCAGATTTAGGTGAGGTGTGACGTCATTTACTCACCTGGAAGCCGTCGTACGTCCAGCTGCCAAACTTCATGAAACACTGCTGCTGATCGAACGGAAAGTAGCGCACGTCTATCTCGCAGTACGACTTGAAAATCGCCGGCGGATGCCACACCTACCCGGCCGTCGTAATAGATGATGGCCTTCGTCAGCGTCGTAATGACGTACTCGCCGTCGGCACTGCAACGACGGGGGCCGCCCGTTACAGCTCTGGCTGCTCGGGCCCGGGTGTGGGGGGCGGCGGCCGAGGTTAGAACGCTGAACAGGAACAAACAAGATGACACAAGACGCCTGAAAGCTACATCAGACAAATTGAATTGTTTCTGCGTTGTCTTGAAACTTCTCTTGCCATTTACATCGACACACAAGATGACCAGCAACATAAACCAGGCGAAGAAGGAGGCGGGCGAACATTTGTCCCCAAACAGAGATGTTGCCGAGCAGCGATTATTGTTTCTCACAGCGTGACAATGTTCACACAAAATTGCAGTCATGGGCAATTTGGCGTTTTTCAGTCTACTTTCGTAAAATGCGAGACAATTTAAATCGAATGTTTCGCATTTCAGGATAATGAAGCAAGCATCCGATGTGATGAAACAGGCTTATTAAAAACTATTGGCGTACTTTTTAAGGGAAAAGACTGCCCTAGACAGCACAACTGTCCGTTGAGTAAATACGCTCCTAAATGCGTCCTGTTTTGATTACGTGATCGTACCTCGCACAACATTGATTGAACACGACACAACAAGTTACTTTAAGACACTTGCTTTAAGTTAAGCGGTCAAATGGGTGCGCACATGACGACAAGGCCTGCAACATAAAACCACTTTAACTAAAACCCGTTGCTGATTTCAAAGGCATGAAACCGCAGGAGAAACATTCCTGTTCAAAAAGCCCCGCCCCACGAGGTTTCAAAGGGGCAAACTTAAGTAATACAAATTTAGATTTCTTGAAGACTTCAGTTTTCCTTGCCTTTAAAAGCTGACCTCTCGCTATGAGCAGTTGCAGTCCTCTCTCTCTCTCTCTCTATCTCTCTATCTCCTACTCTCTCTCTCCTCCTATCTCTCTTCTCTATCTCTCTTCTCTCTTTTCTCTCCTATCTTCTCTCTCTCTACTCTTTTCTCTCTTACTCTTCTGTCTTCTCTATCTCTTCTCTCTCTCTCTCCTCTTCTCTTCTCTTTCTCTCTCTCTCTTTCTCTCTCTCTCTCTCTCTTCTCTACTCCTCTCTCTCTCTCGTTCTCTCTTTCCCCCCTCTCCCTTCTTCTTTCAGTCTCTCTCACTCTCTTTCTCTCTCTCTGATCTCTCTCTCTCTCTCTCTCTCTCTCTCTCTCTCTTCAGCTTGTCCAATCTTCTCTAGGCGACGCTTGCTTTTCTTTCACCAACACCTGACGTGATAATTACTCTTTGTTTAGAACTCCATTTGAAGTTACTTGCAACGTCCTTTGGTTTGCACTGAGCCGAATTTAATGATCCAGTTTCATTTTGCTCTTACACTCGGACCGTGCCATTTGCAGTGTAGTTTCTCACTTTCCCGCGCAGACACTGATTAACACACACTGGACGGCTGCTGCCGGTAAAAAATGTGCGAAGAACACTGGTCTCCAGATATAGTTTCTGAAATGCCGTGGCGAAGCCTGGGCGATTTATTTTTGCGTCGTGTGCACAGAGGCTTTCCACGTGGGTCCAAAATGCGATGCCTCCCCACCGATCGCAACGACAGATGTAGGAAGCGTTTTTTTGTTTGTCTGTTGAAAACTATATCTGTGGGTCCTCTGTATCGTCGGCGGCTGCCCAGACTTTCAATGGCGAGACCGCGTAAGGAAGGTGCAACGGAACAAAACCGTCTTGTGTTTCAGCAATGGTTCCTCTTAAGCGTTACGATAATATCACCGATTCAACCGATAAGCTCATGCCTTTTCGGACGATAGGCTCCTGTTGTGGCGAATTTTCTCCCATATAGTTATGCCAAACAGTCCCTGGGAATCAAAACTTAAAGTTTCAATCACAATTCACAGTGACACGTTTCGCGTCCGTGACAGGTGGCCAGATATCGCGAATATTGTCATTATAGAGCCTTGAATAGCACTCCTGGCCGTGGACCCAGCGGCGCCGCAAACCAGCCGTCTGCGCGGTTACGCCCACGTTGCAACCGCTTAACGCTGCGTTCGCGTCTCGCAGAATGCGCCACCCGCAGAACGGTGGTGACGGCATCGTTGCAGCACCGAAAGGCCGGTCATTGACGTGCACCCCAGCTTGCCTGCCCCGGTCTCCCATCACCTGCGACTGTAACCTCCAGCACTGCCTGCCGCCATCTCTAGGCATATCAACACCCGCAGTGAGCAGTGCTGACACTGCCTCGTTGGCAAGGTCGGCCAACCGCAGCTGGCTCAGCCGTCCCACGGGACGACATGACGGTCAGCCCCCTGAGGTGGCAAACAACACCGGTACACACAAGTCGACTGTGGGAACGGCAACGGCTGCGACAGTGATGCCTTCGCTCTTTGCCGCAGCGCAACGACGTCGCTGCTGCAGCACAACCCACGCCCGCTGCAGCAGCAATGCAGACGCCTGCTGCCGCATTGCGCGTTACAACTGCTATCACATCATGGACCACGGCCGCTATGGCATCACGGACCACGGCCACTATGGCATCATGGACCGCGGCCACTATGGCATCATGGACCACGGCCACTATGGCATCATGGACCACGGTTGCTATCGCATCACGGACCACGGCCACTATCGCATCACGGACCACGGCCGCTATCGCATCATGGACCACGGCCACTATGGCATCATGGACCACGGACGCTACCGCATCATGAACCACGGCCACTATGGCATCATGGACCTCGGACACTATCGCATCATAAACCGCGGACGCTACCGCATCATGAACCAAGGACGCTATCGCATCATGGAACAAGGACGCTATCGCGTAGTAGACCACGAACGCTTTCACATCACGGACCATGGACGCTACCACAGTGCCGACCACCTCTGAGCTTCGCGGCTGCCTCTACAAGCCGCCTGGCTACTGCAGCAGTCCCCGATAAAGCACCAATGGCTACGGGACCGCGTGGTTCTCAATAGCAGCGGCCATAATCGGGCTTCCTGTGAACGCTACAGATGTCGCAGCCTGGACCTAGTTTCAAGAGCCTTCGCAAAAGAGACGAAACAAAATCAAGCCAAATTTGGAGTAGACTCCTTAAAGTTAGCTTCAAGAAAACATCATTATACGAATCAACGAAATCAAGACTGCAGAGGTATTTTTAAGAAAAAAATGTGGGCTCATTCAACGAATGAACGGGAAGTTGTTTTACTGGGCAAAAGTGCAACCAATAAATTAACAAGACAAGGAAATGAGACACTTGAAAAACAACGGCGCTCATTAATCTATCAACAGGGCCAGGCAGCAGTGTGGTTGGTGAGGTTGAATACAGGCGATTAACACAAAATCAGTTCAGAGTAGATTAACCTGACAAACTGTTCCTACAAGGTATCACTGACAAAAAAGTGCAACATATGCACCATAATTTACAAGAGGTTTGCATCATTGTTTCAATATGTAATTAAGGAGTTACCAAGACAAACATCCACAAGGCGCACGGTATATTTGTTCATTAGCCCAAGTTTAGCAACTGGTAAATAGTGGCAAAACGGTGTGTATGAATGCGGTGAGAGGAGGCCAGACTGAGACCATCATCAATCGTTTACCTTCATGGTTAAAAGTTGCATCTACTGGTGAGCAGGAGCACACCTACAGGATATTTTTCACAAGCTCATGGATTGAATACTTTGAAAATTACGAGCAATTACAAGCTCTGCCCACTGAAAATTAACACTCATACTTATATATATATATATATATATATATATATATATATCAAGATATCCTACAGACCTGCAGTAAGCAGATATGCTAAGCCCTACCAATGCTGATTCCGGAATGAGGCAGTAAGGGAGCCATCCACATCCTCGACAATGTTTTGATGCCTAGCGTAAAAGAAGTAATGCTCAGTTGTTATTTATCCGCCGTCAAGTGAAATAACAGGCATTACTCGTCATCCATCATCCGCAAAATTACCCCAACTGACTCTTGATGTGCAACCCCCGGCCTAATTCAAAGGACGAATCTCGAGAAGTCGCAGTTGTCTTTTGATGAAACCTAAACTGCAGCAGATTATGAAATATGATTGGACTTGCTAAGGTCATGCCTTGATTTATTTAAAACGTTCTCCAATTTGGAGTGCTACAGTGTCCGATTTATATACCAACCATCTCGCATGTGTTTATCAATATACAAATGTTGTGTTCAAATGATTGCACTGGTTTTCATCCCAGAAGCACTCTGATCACCACACTGGAAATTTGAAATGCTCTTTAATTGTTTACTGAGAAAATAAAACAATTTTAAGAAATGATCAGGCAATTAGAGCTCGGGGTGAACCCAAGACCTTTCCCAGAAAGAGAGTCATAAATTTCAGAGGCCCTGTAATGGGATGGTGCAGTTAACGTTGACGTCTATTCGTGCAATTCCGAATTGCTCCAGGCTTTTATTTCCCATCGCCAGTAGATAAGTGGACGGCTTGTAGGTCATGAGGACGAAAACAGTCATCCAAAACAAATGTGCTGAAACACGCGCAAGGGCACACCACTCACGACACCACCGCATTGACGGGTCATGACATGCTCAAATGTTTGGTAATCAGGCATTATTTTAGCATATTTTCTCGGGCGGCACATGTGATGCGTAGCGGAGACGTAGCTAGGGGCGGGGGCGCAAGGGTATGACCTACCTGAGCTAAGATATTTACAACAGATACTGGCCAATGCCGTGGGAATTCGGTCCAAGTTGTCGGGAGCTCGAAGAAAATTTGGCATCCCCATCTTTGAGGACATTTTTGGTTATGCTCACTCCCAGTCGACAAAAATGTCCCTTCAGTCATGGAAATTTGCCTCCCCAGTAGACATGACTCTAACACGCATGACCGGGGCAGGCAAACGCGGAATTCTGTTAACTGAATAGCATGGATGATTTTTAAAAAGACTTGGTACATGGCAGCGAAACTTGGTGGACGGCGAAAGCAACTAGTGTGCAACTCTGAAGGGTGGGTGAGTGTAAAATGGTTGGGTTTTTCTCGCGGTTGTTACATCACCAAAGTGCGGGAGATATATTT